GTTGACGCGCAGGGCGGGGCGGGGCTGGGGGCGGGGCGGGACGGCGGCTGCGCAGGCTGGGCCGGGCGCGCGCAGACACCGCGCAGCCGGACGTGAGCGCGCGACCTGGCGCCACCGCCTCCGCGCTCGTGTCCGGGACCCGCGGGGACTCCTCCGGGTTCCCCGGCGCCGCTGGGCTCCCGGGCGGCCGGCAGGTGCAGCGCGGCCGCGCGGCTGGCGAGGGGAGCGCCTCGGCGGCGGGTGGATGAGAGTTGGCCCCGATCTCCGCGCAGGGTAAGCGGCGCGCGCGCGGACGCCCGTACGGACCCCGGTGGACACACGGGCCGCGACCGGGCGCAATCCGCCCCCCTCACCCCGGCGCCTGGAGCCGGCGGCCTTCCGAGCAGGGCCCCGCGCGGGCGCGCCCCGCACACACGCCCCCGGGTTCCGCGCTGGCCGGGCGCGCCTTACGGCCCCCTCCCGCCCGCGCCGCGGCCACCGGCGCCTGCTGGTCGCATCCTGCCGGGCCACCAAGGCGAGGAGGACGTCCCGGAGGCGCGGGGCCCGGGCTGGGGCGGTGGTCGTTGGTCGCTGGGCCTGGGGTCCCCGCGGCCAGGCGGGGGCAGGGGCAGGGGCGTGGCGAATGTCGCCCTCCTGACCTACTATTTGGGGGGACAGAAGAGTAGGGAGCCCCTGGCCCCTACGACCCCGGAAACGACCCCGCCAAAAAGTTGTAGGCGCCGGCCCCAGCCCTGCACCCCTCTTTCTGTCCGGTCTCCTCTCCCTTTGTTTGGGACTTTTACCTGGTGGGGCTCAGTTGGGGCCCAGGCCCGCGTGCAGGTGAGGAGGTGGGGTGTAGTGTGGCAGCCCCATCCTGCAACCCCGTGCCCAGGGCAGGCCCTGCGCCCTTCCCTGTGCAGGCGGAGGAAGAGAGCCAGAGAGGGGAGGGCTGGCGCACCTGACCCTGCCTGTGGCGCTGTGGCCGGAGGATCAGCAGCTCCCAAGGCCACAGACCCAAACAGAAAGCCCCCCAAGCTAGTCACCCTTGGGTCTGTTGCCAGCCCTACACCTCCAGAGATAGGGAGGGTTCCAGTTGGGGGCTGGTGTTTTTGCAGGATTGGGTTCCCTTCTTGCCTTCCTCCTGCCTGTTGTGGAGGAAATAGAGTTCTGAGCCTCCCCTCCCCCCCCAAAACACACACACACACACAAATGGAGGTCCCTGATGCCCAGCCCCCACCAAACCCAGCCCAGGGGGTTGTTTTAGGGCTGGGCCTGACGGGACCAGCAGGGGCGGGGCTGTGCAGTAGAGGGATCTGGAGCCTTCCCTCCATCATGCATCTGCTCTGTGACCTTGGGCACCAAGGCATTGAGCCGCCCTGTGCCTCAGTTTCCCCACCAGTAAATGGGGAAAGAGGATTTAGATAAGAGGATTAGATGAAGTGATGCAGGCTCCGCACTGGCTGGGTACACCCAGGGCAGAGTCAGAACACCTTGGCGAGGCTAGCGGAGCCCTTTGCCCCCAGGCAGTTGTTTCCCTTACTGCCCGATGTGTGTCCCAGGTCCATCTGGGGACACAGTCTGGCCAGGTGTGTTCACTTGTTGCCCCTGCCGTGTGCTGTGATGAAACCACACCCCACCGTTGTTAGCTGGGGCACCTTGGCTCAGAGGCCTAGTTAAACCTGTCCCTCCTTCCTGCCGCAGACCCCCTGCCTGGCTTTCCCCCTGCATGGGCCACAGTTTTGATCCTTTTTTAGCACCATGGGGTGTGGGCCTGAACCCCCAGATCCGGACAGTGCTGGACTCATGGTGGGCAGCTGCCAGCTTGGTCCTGGGAACTGAGAGGTAGGGGCCCCGGGGCCTGTGGGTTGGCGCCACCCCTCCTCTGCCCTCTTTCCTGTCAGCTGCCCTGGCTGGTGGGGCATGAGGTGTGGCCGTCCCAGCGGGGCGATGTGGGGACTGGCAGGGCCTGTCCTTGTGATGTCTGTTTGCACTCAGGAAAGGCACTTCCTGGAAGCTGCACGGAAAGTCTCAAAGTTGCGGTCTATGTGGACCTGGCCCTCACAGCCCATGTACTGTCTTTTGTGGAGGTGGGTAGGGGTGCAGGGAAGTGGGGGGCTTCATGAAGGAAGAACCAGGTGGTCTCTCTCCCAACTGCCCGCCTTTGAGGCCGCCTCTGAGCCCGCCTCTTATCTGTTGAGTCCATCCCAGAGTGGGTGTCAGGAGATCCACTGGGCGCCAGCTGCATGTGATCTCTGCTTTCCTTACACTCCCTGGGCCTCACCTCACCTTCACCAACTGGAACCGAGGAGGAGAATCAGGCGTGGTTTTCCTGAATGACCATTTTTGCTGTATGATAAAATAGAATAGTGGTTCAGGCACAGTGAAAACGGTGTTACTAGATTTTCGTGAGCTGCTGTCGCCAGGGGAGGCTGAGAGCCTGAAGCCCTTTTTCTCTTTGTAACAGAATATCTGGGCGATGTTACAAATTTGACAAACCAGCACCAGACCCAGACAATGTCTTGGTGGAATCCATGGAATCGGAGAGCAGAGGGGCTCCCCTCATGTTTCCATGGTTGTGCCATCCGGTACCCCGTATCTCACAGGCCCCAGTGTGGAGCCCTTCCAGCTCCCGGCACTTCCAGGTTTGGGCGTTTCCCTCTGGAAGCTGGATCTACCCAAGGTTTTGCAGGAATGGGGTTCTCCTGGCGTGGCTCCAGCCAGGTGCTCATTTCTGGGGGCTGCCCTTTGGGGTGCTAGGCAGGTTTCCCCACATGGGGGTCTCTGGTGTTTGGCCCTCTGTGTATGTCAGGGTGGGGGCGGTGCTCCTGCCTAGTCGCTGTGCTGGGGACTTAAGCCTTCCCAGAGTGCCTGTCAGCGCAAGGTGTGTGCTAGCGGGGAAGGAGACGCCGGTGGCTGGCTGTGTGGCCTAGTTGCCTGTTCTCTTGTGTTTCTGCCTCCTTCCCTGCAAAACAGGCCGGGAGGCTGCTGTACCTGTTGTCAGGGGGACAGGAGGCCATTTTTATCCAAAGCTGAGTGTGGGCTTGCTGCCCAGTGGGTGCTGCTCACAGTGTGGGGAGTGTAGCAGAGCATTTCTGCACTTAAGGTATTTAAAAATGCATTGGGGGAAATGAGATGTGGGCTGTAGGGGGAATACATATGCATTTGCCCGGGAAGTGGCTTCTGCCGGCTTAGCCCGGACCTAGTGTCTGTGGGGAGCTGCCTGGTTGCAGTCTGACCGGTCCAGTGGCACTTGGAAGACCTTTGGTTGTGGAAGCGGAAAGCTGGCCTGGAGGCTCTTGGGCATAGCTGTAGGTTTCCATCTGCTTGTCCTAGGCCTTGTGGTGGCATAGCAGAAGGGACTCTGGTTGGGCCTTTGTCCTGGGCAGAAGCCAGAAAACACCCTTTGTTGAGGAGGTGAGAGTTGAAGTACTCGACAGTCTGTGCTGGCTGATGGGCATGGGGGGCGGCCTGGGTCCCTGAAGGTGATGGCCGTTCAGTGAATGGAGTGTTGAAGACACAACCCAGCCCTGGGTTGGGGGCAGCTGCTTGGAGAAGTGTAACTGGCTGAGAACTTAAAGGCAGGCTGCCCCGACTTCTCTTACAGACAGAGATGGAGCAGAAACATGAGGGCTTCCCGAAGTAGAGAATGCCATGTTCCTGCACCTCTGGTGTCTGCATGTGGCCTGCAAGTTGGGCTGGGCGGAACCTTCAGGCCCATAACTCAGCCCTGATGACAGCCGCTGTTGTTGATTGTTTGGCGTTTAAGTTATAACCAGGGTTGTGATTATGTTCAAGTGCTGTGATTGAGTCCCCTGCGGTTACACCAGAAGGTGCGAAGTATTGGCCTGTCCAAAAAAATTAACTACTGAAATAGATGTCACTGTAGTGCCAGACACCCATGTGGCTCTCAGAACACACTCTCACCCCATTACACAGATGAAGAAACTGAGGCACAGAATCGTGGGCAGATTGCTTAAGTCCTCAGGAGTTAAGTAGCAGAGCTGGGGTGGCCCATGGGTTGTGTGCTTACCCGAAGGCTGTGCTCTAAAGCTCACGGCCTCCTGGTAATCCCTTGGCAAAGTTCATTTAGGTTTCCCAGGGCTTGTGAAGGAAATATAAGAAGTAAATTTCAAGTTACATGGGACATCTCTCTCTGCTCTCCACATGCACCAGTAGCGAGCACAGCCCTCACCTGGGCCTGAGGGCCTTCTGAGCACTGGGCTTGACTGCGTTTTGTCACAACTGGAGGCAAGTGCTATAATTAGCTCCATCTCACAGATGAGGAAGCCGGGCCCAGAGAATTAGCTTCCCTGGGGCCACAGCTGCTGAGAGACTGGCCGGTACGAGCCTGTGGTCTCTGTGTCTAACCTGGGCACCCTATGCAGGGAGGTAAGATGGGAAAAAACCGGGGTCTTGCTTAGAGTGTGTTCCTGGGCAAAGTGCTAGCCTCTCTGGACCTCTGTTTGGCCACCTGTAAACAAGGGTCTTGGTGTAGAATGTGGAAGCCAGAGGTCTGAGAGCTGGCCCTGGCCTTGGTCTGCTCAGCCTTGCACAGGCAGGCCTGGGGTGGGGAGGCCTAGCGGGAGCAGGGAGAGGAGGGCAAGAGGGTGGGAGGGTGGCGGTGGGGAAGGGCAGGCAGGCCCCCTCCCCGGCACAGGCTGGCAGGGAGTGGAGTGGCTGCGGCTGTGGGGGAGTGAGGCCTCCGGCTCTCCTGGGGTGGGGGGGAGACCCCTCACGCCGTGTGCCACGCCGCTCCCCTCTGAAGTGGGGCGCTCGGAAGCTGTGAAGCACTGTGCTCAGGGAGTTGGTGTCCCTTGGGAATGGGAGGAAGGGCAGCTCTACCCAGAACCCACTGCGCCCCAAAACCCAAGCTCAGCTGTAGGGGGAGAAACCAAATGGCAGGGCGCCAGGCCCGCAGGGCGAGGATCTGGCTCGTCCCCCCCTCCACCAGTGGGAAGGGCTGCTGCTTCTAGCCCCTGTGGGTGTCTGCAGTGAGCCTGGGGCACAGGGAGGCAAGGCCCCTCTCCAGCCCCACCAGCCTGGCCTCTGCAGCCCCGCCTCCGCCTCCGGCAGCTTCAGGTCTGGGAGCCTGGTGGGGGTGGGGAGGAGCCAGGCTCACCCAGGGAGGGGGCGGGGCTGGGCAGCGAAAGAGGTGTTTATTTTTTTTAAACATCTCTGTTGAAGTATAATGCACATACTATTGTAGTCCACCCACTGCAAGTGTGCAATTCACTGACTTCTAGTATATTCACAAAAATGTGTAACCTTCACCACAATCTCATTTCAGAACTTTT